ACCTTACCCCAGTCAGAAAGGCCCACATCCTAAATTCAGCCAATGATAAATGCAGGGAGGGATGCAGAGAAAGAGGAACCCTACTGCACTGCTGGTAGGAATGTACACTAATACAACCACTTTAGAAAGCAATCTGGAGGTACTTTAGAAAATTAAACATAGACCTCCCCTATCACCCAGCCATACCACTCCTAGGCATCTACCCTGAGCAACAGGAACCAGGATACAAGGACACATGAACCTCGATGTTCATTGCAGCACTGTTCACAATAGCCAAGATATGGAAATAACCCAGAGGCCCCACGACAGATGAATGGATCCAAAAATTGTGGTACCTATATACAATGGAATATTACGCAGCCATTAGAAATGACAGAATAATGGCATTTGCAGGGAAATGGATGGAGCTAAAACAAATCATTTTGAGCGAGGTGAGCCAAAAGCAGAGACACATATGGCACATGGTCTCCCTGATATGTGGATGTTAAATCCAAAATGCAAGGAGATATGAAAAAGTAAACAGGACTCAAGAAACAGGACATTCATTCGATTTGTCGTATCTTTTATAAAGGACTCCATGTTCTTGACCTCATATATGGTATGTACATATGCACATCTGAGGGAAGTTAGGAGGAGGACACAGAATCAGAGGGAAACGGGAAAATATATAACAGAGGGCCCATCAGCTGCACTGGACATTGATGAAAACGAACTAAGCAACTCAAGGGCAGCCATAGGAGGGAGGGAATGAGAGGAAAAGAGGGAACAGCTTACACTAAGCAAAAGGAAAGAAATGTACATATCACCTGATGTGGAAGAAATAGTTGTATTGTCAAAGCTCATAGAATTCACAAACGTTATATACCATGATAATGACAATTTGCCTTGTGAAGGTTAAAATGTATTTGTGACTTTAAAGTATCACTATCTCACAATACTGTGAAATTTGTGAAATATATAATCAGTTAATCTCAATAAAAATTATTTTAAAAAACCCATACTCCATTATGCTTTTCTTTGATGGTTAACTGGGAGATAAGAGTCTCATGGACTTTCCTGACTAGGCTAATAATTCCTCAGATCTCAGCTTTCTGAGCAGCTAGGATTACAGGTGTGAGTCACAGGCACCTGGCCCTTAGCTATTTTTTTTTTAACCTCACTAATTTGAGATGCTATAACCTTTAAAAAAAAAAAACTAGTTCTAGGGCTTAAACTCGGAGGCTGGGCACTGTCCCTGAGCTTCTTTTACTTAACTGTAGCCCTCTACCACTTGAGCCACAGCACCACTTCTGGTTTTTTTGTGTATGTGGAACTGAGGAACCGAACCCAGGGCTTCACGTATGCTAGGTAAGCAATCTACAACTAAGCCACTTTCCCAGCTCTCCATAACCTTTAAAATACACTTATCTGGGCTGGGAAGTTGACTCAGTATAGAGTATTGCCTCACATGCATGAGGCCCTGGGTTCGATTCCTCAGCACCACATAAGCAGAAAAAAGCCAGAAGTGGCACTGTGGCTCAAGTGGTGGAGTGCTAGCCTTGAACTGAAGAGCTGTCAGCTCCCATGACTAGCAAAAGAAAAAAAAATATATATATATGCATGTATGTATATGTATATATATATATATATATATATATATATATAATAACCTTTATTACATTTCTGCTCCTCTGTACTTTTTTTTTGCCAGTCCTGGGGCTTGAACTCTGGGCCTGGGCACTGTCCCTGAGCTTCTTTTGCTCAAGGCTAGACACTCTACCTCTTCAGCCACAGCACCATGTCTGGCCTTTTCTGTTTATGTGGTACTGAGGAATGGAACCTAGGGCTTCATACATGCAAGGCAAGCAGTCTACCACTAAGCCACTTTCCCAGCCTCTCTTCGTTGTACTTTTACCTCTTGTTATAGCTTTTTGTCCTGGTTACAGTAAGATGCACAATTATTAGTTTTCACACTGGATATATTCTGTATCATTACTAAGTAACACTCTATTTCCAACTTAATGTTTAAGTCTTATTATTACTCACATTTCCATTATGTTTTACTTATCATTTTACTTTCAATCTTTCTGAGTACTTTTTGATAGCTAGATCTTCCCTTTTTTTGAACCAGTACTGGGGCTTGAACTCAAGGCCTGAGCATTTTCCTTGAGCTTTTTCACTCAAGGCTAGGGCTCTATCACTTGAGCCACATTGGCTTTCTGGTGGCTAACTGGAGATAAGAGTTTCACAGACTTTGTTTACCCTGAGAGCTCAGCCTTCTGAGTAGCTAGAATTACAGGTGTGAGCCACTGATACCAGGCATTCATGTATGTATGCATGTATGTATATATGCATGTGCTGGTCCTGGGGCTTGAACTCAGGGCCTGGGAGCTATCTCTGAACTTCTTTTGTTCAAGGCTAGCACTGCAGCCACACTTCTACTTTCAGCTTCTTTTTGGTAGTTAATTGGAGATAAAAAGTCTCACAAACAAGGTCTGGGAAGGTGGCTCAGTGGTAGAGCACTTGCCTTGCATGCATGAGGCCCTGGGTTCAATTCCTTGGCATTACATAAACAGAAAAAGCTGGAAATGGTGTTGTGACTCAAGTGTTAGAGTGTTAGCCTTGAGCTGAAGAGCTGAGCGATAGCGCCCAGGCCCAGAGTTCAGGAACTAGGACCGACAAAAACAAAACAAAATCTCACAAACATTCCTCTCTGGGTTGGTTTCAAATCAAATCCTCAGATCTCAGCTTCTTGCATAGCTAGGATTACAGGAGTGAGCCACCAGCACCCAGTTAGATTTATATTACATATCACACATTTGGAATATGTTTTTGGAGCAATATTGAGGTTTGAAGGTAGGTTCTCTGTTTGGTCAGTAAATGTTTTACCACTTGAGCCAGACCTCTGTTTTAGTAATTTTTCAGCTATGGTCTTAGGCTTTTTGGCTGGGTCCAGTCCTTTACTATGTCCTACATATGCCTCCCACATAGCTTGGAATCATAGGTGCATCCCATTGCACATGGCTTGTTGGCTAGGCTGGGATCTCATTAACTTTTTGCCTGGCCTGGCCTTAAACCTTAATGCCAGCATGGGGATTAATTCAAACTGAGGGTTTGTTTCTTTTCCTCTTTTGTTTCTCCTCTTTTTTTTTTTTTTTTTTGTGTCAGTCCTAGGGCCTGAACTCAGGGCCGGGGCACTGTTCCTGAGCTTTTGTTTTGAAGGCTAATGCTTCACCATTTGAGCCAGAGATCCACTCCTGGGTTTTCGCTTGTTAACTGGCTTCAAATCGTGAGGAGTGAACCACCGGCACCTGGCTTATATTATTTTTAAAGAAGAAACTGGAATGTAGATTATTTTATCGTACTACTTTTGAGGAAAATTTTATAAATTAACCAAATGATAAGAGGTTGTCATATTTAATGTACTTTCCATATACACTAACCATGGCAAACCAAAACCAAATACACAGATAAACATTAAATAAAATATTAAGTCTGAAAAAATGATTAAGTCTCTTACCTGCACAAAATATCCTTAGCTGTTGGACCGGTGATATAAGCTGCAAATGGGTGGTGAACAGATCAACGAATGCTCCAGGATAAATAATGAAGAGAAAAATCCCAAAGCCATTAAATCGAACTTGTTCCCTAAGAAATTACATAAGAAAAAGGCATTTATTAATACTACTGCATTTGTCAAAGTAACAATGTATGTAATGTTAAAGTCCACTGCAATTCAAATTCTTGCTTAAAAATAAAGTGTATTTCCAGCTAAAACATTGCGTGTACATTATCTATCATAATTTTTAAATTGTACAACATGGATTTGTCTCTAAAAGAAAATTTCATAATATTCTGGAATAGACTTATAACTTCAAAAACTTTAAAAGGCAATATGCGAGTTGATAACTGAAACTGGACATACATAAAATGATGAATACTTCTGTAAGAAATTGTAAACATTTTTATGATTTAGCATGAACTATCTTCAGAGGACACAAATGTATGATCCAAGTAAATTATCTAATACTATTTGTCTTACGTGTTACAAATAATAATGGAGTTTTATCTAAGTGTATTCTTAAGTTGTTTTAAAGATTAGTTTGTTTGGGTTGGGAATGTGGCTTAGTGGTAGAGTGCCTCCTTAGCATGAATGAAGCCCTGGGTACGGCATTCACAGAAAAAGCAGGAAGTGGCGCTGTGACTCAAGTGGTAGAGTGCTAGCCTTGAGCAAAAGAAGCTCAGGGACAGTGCCCAGACCCTGAGTTCAAGCCCCTAGGACTGGCAAAAAGAAAAAAGATTAGTATGTTTTAAAATGCAATAGTCACAGCTGGGTGCTGGTGGCTCAGGCCTGTAATCATAGCTACTCAGGAGACAGATCTGAGGCTCCCAATTTAACACCAGATCTGGCAGAAAAGTCCATGAGACTCTTAAGCTCGGGGACAGTGCCCAGGCCCTGAATTCAAGCTCTAGAACCAGTGTATGTGTGCGCGTGCACGCACACACACAAATGCAATATTCAGACTGTCTTTAAAATAATTTTTTTTGTCGGTCATGGAGCTTGAACTCTGGGCCTGGGCACTGACCTTCAGCTCTTCAGCTCAAGGCTAGTGCTCTACCACTTGAGCCACAGCTCCAGTTCTGGTTTTCTGAGTGGTTTATTAGAGATAAGAGTCTCATGGACCTCCCCCACGATATAACCCCTGCTTTCACTGTATTTGATGTTGGTATAATTTGTGGAGGGGAAGGGAAAAAACAAATCGTTTAAATAGGGATACGGGTGGATCCATTGCAACAATGAGATGTACAAGTTGTTATGTGGAAAACGAACTTTACAACTTTGGTGGGGGAGAGGGGGAGATGGGAAGGGATAGGAAGGGGAAACAAAGGAGGAGGCAACAATGCTTGATAAGAAATGTACTCATTATCTTGCCCACGTAATTGTAACTCCTCTGTATGGTATTTTTACAATTTAAAAAAAAAAGAGTCTCATGGACTTTCTTGCCTGGCTGAGTAGCTAGGTTTACAGGTGCAAACCAGCGGCACCCGGCTACAATTACTTTTTAAATTATATATATATCTATATATATATCTATACATATATCTATACATATATATATTATTATAAAGATAATGTATGGAGAGGTTACAGTTACGTGAGTAAGGTAATGAGTACATTTCCTATCGAGCATTGTTACCTCCTCCTTTGTTTTTCCTCTACCATCACTTCCTTCCCCTTCATTTTATCACTTCCTTTCTTAAAATGCACAATACATTGAATAGTTTCACGAGAGCAAACAGCTATGCAAAAAAAATCTTCATACTAAATTTTTTTCAAGCAAAAACAAATTTCATATAGTCACATAAAGACAAAGGATTATTTAACAGAAAAGTTTACTCCTGTTCAAGCTAGGATCTTTACCATTAATGTTTATACATGGCTAGCTCTCACCAGGTATGATGCCCTTGCTCAACATTTAGTTAATAACATTGTCTTCCCTTCACCCCAAAATAAGCTGTTAGCTGTCCATCCTTCTGAGCATGTTCATACTAATTTTTTTGTTGTTGTTGGTTATGAGGTTGAACTTTGGGCCTGGGTACTGTCCCTCAGCTCTTCAGCTCAAGGCTACTGCTCTACCACTTGAGCCATAGCGCCACTTCGTTTTCTGAGTGGTTAATTGAAGAAAAGAGTCTCACGGGCTTTCCTGCCTAGGCTGGCTTTGATTACAGGCATGAACCACCGGCACCAGGCTTCATACCAAATTTTTAAGACAATTATGCAGCTTACTTTTTGTTGGCAGTGAGATTTTTTTGGCAGTCATGGTGCTTGAACTCTGGGCCTGAACATTGTCCCTCAGCCCTTCAGCTCAAGGCTAGAGCTCTACCACTTGAGCCACAGCTCCAGTTCCGGTTTTCTGGAGATAAGAATCTCATGACTTTTCTTGCCCGGGCTGGCTTTGAACCGTGATTCTGAGATCTCAGCCTCCTGAGTAGCTAGGATTACAGGCGGGAGCCATCGAGACCCAGCTGGCAATAAGATTTTTAAAAAGATAATTTTATTGTTATTATTAAGGTGTTATACAGAGGGATTACCATTTCACAACTCAGGTAATACATACATTTCTCTTTTGGATAATGTCACCCCTTCATTGCTTTCCCCGCAGTTTCCCCCTTCTGTCCTTGCCCACAAGTTACATAGCTTGTTTTCCACATAGTATATACTGAATACCATGATTTTGGCAATGAGATTTTATTAAAAAATTAATCAATTTATTTAACAATTAAACTGTTACTAAAAATGTTTTCATCTAAGTGCTGGTGGCTCACACCTATACCCTAGCTACTCAGGAGATTGAGGTTTGAGGACCCCAGTTCAAAGCCAGTCTGGACATACAAATCCAAGAGATTCTTATCTCATTTAACCACCAAAAATCCAGCAAGACTTCAGCGGTAGTGTCAAGCATGAACCAGAAAGCTGACCTAGAGCTTAAGGTCCTGAGTTCAAGCCCAAGAAGCAGTACCAAACAAAACAAAAAAAAGCTTCCAAGGCTGTGGTGTGGCTCAAGTAGTAGAATACTTGCTTAGCAAGTGGAATTCCTTGAGTTCTAACCCCAGTACCACACAAAAAAAGTTCCATATGCATGCGAAATCCAAAAGTCCACAAGAGTAAAGACATGGAGGCAATGGTGAAAGAGAGAAAATGAGCACATACAATTACATAACATTATTTGTTCTGTTAAGATGAGGGCTTATTACCAGTAGGTAGACTATTGTTCATAAGCAACTAGAAAGTAGTAGGTGACTAAATCCGCTCCATTATAACAGTGCTTTGTCTTTACTCTGATCCCCAAGGGTAAAACACAGTCTTGTCAGTATGTTTCTGATAATGACCATAATTATCACGGAGGCAGCTGGGAATTTATGATGCCTCTCACCCACTTTCCATAATAGCTAGTCAGGAATAACTATAGAATAACATATCTGGAGAGTCAAGACCAAAAACAAGTAATGATCTTCAAAATAAGTCCTAGATTTCATCTTCTATATTTGTTAAGCCCAACACTTTGAGTTTTATTTGTCTAGCTGGTACAAGACATGAACAGGAGGGCAGGAAGTTATTTTAACTGATACGTCAAGGAAAGTACTAAGATATGCTAGGTATGGTGTGCACTTCAGTAATCCCGGTACTTGGGAGGTGGAAGTAGAAGGGTTATGAGATCCAGGCCACTTTGGACCACAAGGCAACTTCCTGCCACCCTCTCCAAATCTAAAGAATAAAGATTATTAAAGCCGGGCTCTGATACTTCACACATATAATCCTAGCTACTAAGGAGGTTGAGATCTGAGGATCACAGTTCAGAGCCAGCCCAGGCAGGAAAGTCTGTGAGACTCTTATCTCCAATAAAACCACCAGAAAACTGGAAGTGGCGCTGTGGCTCAAGTGATAGAGTGCTAGCCTTGATCTGAAGAACTGACGGACAGCGCCCAGGCCCAGAGTTCAAGCCCCATGACTCCCCCACACACACCAAAAAAGATTATTGAATTAAAAAGAATTCCAATGGAAGTGACACTGTAGCTCAATGGTAGAGCATTAGCCTTGAGCACAAAGAGACTCAGGGACAGAGCCTAGGCTCTGAGTTCAAGTTCAATAGCTGAAAAAAAAGAGAGAATTTCTAGTAGGGCACTGGTAGCTCATGCCTGTAATCCTAGCTACTCAGGAGGCTGAAATCTGAGGATCTTTTCCTACCTGGGCAGGAAAAGTCCATGAGACTCTTACTTCTACTTAACCACAAAATGCTGGAAGTAGAGCTGTGGCTCAAGTGTCAAGAATGCTAGCCTTGAACAAAAAGAGCTTGGGGACAGTACTGAGGCCCTGAGTTCAAGCCACAGTACTGGCACAAAAAAATAAAAATAAAAAGGAACTTCAAAGCTAGATGAAAAACTTTGAAGCTCCCTATGGCTATAATCATGCTGGCAAAGGAGAGGAAGACTTGGACCACAGATGTGCACATGATTGAGTGTATTTATCAGTATATTAATCTTTTCTATAAAAGCATAGCCACTTCACAGTAATAGATGATGGGTGTATTCTGGGTGTATTCTACAGAATGAAGAATATTTACCAAATATAGCAAATTTTAGTAATAAACCTTAAGTGAAAACCTTTTAAGGAAAAGAAAAGGAAAAGGTAAGTATCATTACCGAATAGCTGCTATCCCATGTCCAATTTCATGTACAACACCACTAATGAGGACAGCAGCAAAGAAATAGGTCAGCTGATTGACGGGTAAATTGATACCAGGAACCTGTTCAGAGACACAATATGGCAGTAATTATCAGGTTTATTTTTTTTATTTTTTGCAGGTAGCAGGGTTTGAATCCATGGCCTTGCCCTTGCTGGGCTTGCTTGTTTGGCTAGCACTCTACCACTTGAGCTATGCCCCCAGACTGGATTTTGATGGTTTTAGAGATTGGATCTTGAGGATTTTCTGCCTGGGCTTACTTTGAACTGTGGTCCTCTGATCTCAGCATCCTGATTAGCTAGGATTATAGGTGTGAACTGTGAGAATATAGTCTAATTTTTTTAATGTTTCTGATCTTGATATATGCATTTGTACATATATGTGTATATATATAATTATACTTCGTGTAATAAATTCCTGTAATACTCCACCTTCCTTATTAATAAAATGAAAAAAAGAAGAAACAGAAGGGCAGAGTGGTACATGCCTGTAATCCTAGCTACTTGGGAAGCTGAAATCCAGAGTATCAAGTTATAGATGGTCAACTCTGGGCAAAAACAGACTGTTTACAAGGTAACTAAAAACAGAGGTCTTGTGGGATTGCTCAAGTGATAGAGCTCCTGCTGAATAAGTTCAAACAAAGTAGTATCATAAACTACTTGGCATATCAATGGCCTAATCTTTGTTCAATGCTTAACATTATGCCTCACAGAGAAGATAATTCATTCTTTTTCTTCTTGTTGCTGGTGGTGGTGGTGGTCATGGGGCTTGAACTGAAGGCCTGGGTGCTGTCCCTGAGCTTTTTTGCTCTTCCACTTTGAGCAAAACTGCTACTTACGGTTTTCTGGTAATCGGAGATACGACTCATGGACTTTTCCTGCCTGGACTGGCTTTGAACCATCATGCTCAGATCTCAGCCTCCAGAGTAGCTAGGATTACAGGCGTGAGCCACCTGTGCCCAGCAATAAATTCTTTTGTTACACAAACTTTAAAGAAATTTGTTCTCTATCATCTAAGTGTTGTCTAAAAATAGACACTTCTGTACCCTTAAGTAAGTTTATTTTATTCAAATCTGCAATTTGACTGAAATTTCTTATGATCATTAGTAAAGCTGAACTTTTCCTGTACATTTTTGTCTATTTTTTTGGTCTTTTGAGTTGCCTATTTATGACTCTTTTTTTTTTCCTACTAAAATATTCACCTTTTTCTCACTTGTTTATAAAATCACTTAAAAGTAACAGTATTGGTCCTTTGTAGTATGTGTCACAAACATTTTGCTCAGTATTCTTGCCTTGTCATCATATTTTGTTAGTTCTTGATATATAAAAAGCTTCGGATTTATCAATAAATATAATTTCCTACCTCACCAAGAGGGAACTTCAACGTAAACTATGGATTTCGAGTGGCGATAACTGACCAGCCCAGGTTGATCATTTGTAACACTTTCACCACTGTGGTGGTGATTGGTGGTAGTGATGGACACAGCGTGTGGGGGCTGGAGGGAGATGCACAGGATACCTCTGTGCTGTCCTCTTAATTTTGATATGAACCAAAAACTACTCTAAAAATAACATCATTAGAAATCAAAAATAAATAATAAAGGTGGTACTGTTTCATGAAAATAGTCCCTGTTTCACTTTAGTTTTATGTGTTCATATAAACAGCAATTTGATTTCTTTTCCTCTTAAGATCTTTCATGATTCACACTTAATTCTAACACAGTCACAGTTGACTTTTGTGCTGCATTCCAGAGGAATTTTACCTTTTAACCAAAGAAAGACTTCACAGAATGCTTCTTGGATTGTTTTTTACATTCCATTGATTCCAACTGTCTATTCTCTGGCTCTTAAACTAGTTTTTGTAATCATCATTTTTTTCTGCCATCCTGGGGCTTGAACTTGGGGCCTGGGTGCTTTCCCTAAGCTTTTTTTTTGTTCAAGAGTAGTGCTCTACCATTTTGAGCCACAGTTCCACTTTTGGCTTTTCGGGGTGGGAAGGATAGTTAGAGATAAGAGTCTTACAGACTTTTTTTTTCCCCACCTGGGCTAACCATGATCCTCAGATCTCAGTCTCCTGTGCAGTTACGATTACAGGTGTGAGCCATTGGCACCTAGCTGGAATTTCTTTTCTTTCCTTCCTTCCTCCTCTCCCTCCCTCCCTTCCTCTTTTTTTCTTTCTCTCTCTTTCCCTCCCTCCCTCCCTCTCTCTCTCTTTTTTTTTTGGGTCCAGTCGTGGGGCCTGAACTCTGGGCCTGGGCACTGTCCCTCAGCTCTTTAGCTCAAGGCTAGCGCTCTACCACTTGAGCCACAGCAC